CTACCCTTCTCAACGTTTCATTCTATTTAACGTCTTTAACAAGTTTATACAATAAATTTGCTAACATATCAAACATATTAAACCACTTTAAAACAAAAAATTGCAAGAAATTAACAAAATTAAACAATAAATTTCATGGAATTCTATCGCTTGGATAAAGTTAAGTATGGACAAAGATTTTATGTGTTTTTTGTAGTAAATAAAATGTTTGAATAACAGTAAATAACCATTATACCCTTCTCAACATTTCATTTTATTTAACATATTTAACAAGTTTATACAATAAATTTGCATATCAAATATATTTATAACCACTTTGAAACAAAAAATTGCGAGAAATCAACAAATTTAAACAACAAACTTCATGGAATTCTATTACTTGGGTAAAGTTACACATATATTTTTTGTAGTGAATAAAATGTTTGAGTAACAACAAATAACCGTTCTACCCTTCTCAATGTTTCATTCTATTTAATGTATTTAACAAGTTTATTCAATCAATTTGCATTAAAACACTTTGAAACAAAAAATTGCGAAAAATCAACAAATTTAAACTATAAACTTTGTGGAATTCTATTGCTTGGATAAAATTAGGTATGAACAAAGATTATTTATTCATTTATTTATTTTTGTGGTGAATAAAATGTTTGAATGAGAGCAAATAACCATTCTACCCTTCTCAACGTTTCATTCTATTTAACGTATTTAACAAGTTTATTCAATAAATTTAGTTAAACCACCTTGAAACAAAATATTGCGAGAAATCAACACATTTAAACTATAAACTTTGTGGAATTCTATCGCTTGGATAAATGAACAAAGATTTTATCTTTTATTTATTTATTATTTTATTATTTTTATTTTTGTAGTGAATAAAATGTTTGGATGAGAGCAAATAACCATTCTACCCTTCTCAAAGTTTCATTCTATTTAGTGTATTTAACAAGTTTATTCAATAAATTTGCAACATATCAAACATATTCAACCACTTTGAAACAAAAAATTGTGAGAAATTAACAAATTTAAACAATAAACTTCATGTAATTCTATCACTGGGATAAAGTTACGTACGAACAAATATTTTATATTTTTTGTAGTGAATAAAATGTTTAAATAAAAGTAAATAACCATTCTATCATTCTCAATGTTTATTGTATTTAATGTATTTCAGAAGTTTATACAATAAATTTGCAACATAATAAACAAATTAAAACACATTTAAACAAAAAATTGCGAGAAATCAACAAATTTAAACAACAAACCGGGGTGTCTGAATTACTAAAACCAGCTTCTCTACTCTCACTTAACCCATTAAGTCATTGTAAATTTATTAAGTAAAAAAGAAACAACCTTTTAAGTGCTTGGCCCAATAAGGCCATTAAGTAAAAAAGAAAACAACACAACACAACAAATTAAGAGTTAAGAGTTTGTTTACCTACTGCATTGCTGACAGAATCGCTGTTGACGTCCACCAATAACAACAATCGGAGCCTTTGCATGAGCCTCACATACTTTATGCCTCCGGTGATACGCTTTGGATCTTGTCATATCGGTTGTGCAATTTGCCACCCGGCAAACCAGTTGTGTGGGCCCACCACTTCCGGAACCCCTCTTTCCACCCATTGCCGCCTTCTTCTGCCCATCATCTACGAATGCCATGTCATCATCCATTTCCCATTCTTCCATGATGTCGTTAGTAAACTTGTCATCCATACTCGATTTGGATTTGGATTTTATTCTTATCATTTCCTTGAAAGAGGGTCTTTACTCTTTATATAGAGAACAAGAAAGTGAAGCTTTGGAATAGGAATAAGTGATTTCGATGTTCGAATTCCATGTGGAGGAATAACTGATTGTAAGTCTCTCATTATCTTTGCTCTAGAATAAATGTTTGTATTTTCCTTTCTTTTTTAAAAAGAATTATATCGACATCTTATTTTGTGGTATGAGCTTGTTTGTAGTGTAGCTCCATTTAAACAATAGTATATTTTAAATTTTTAAAGGAAATTTCAACAAGTAGCAATGTACCTTTATTTATTTGTGTACTAAAGCATACTACTCTACTTTTTTCTATTACAAAGTTGTATTTAGAAAAAAAAAAGTTTCTTGTTAAGGTACTCTGCTTTGAAATGAGCTATAGCATGATACTATTGATTTTTTCTTATTAAGACATTATATGTCTTATATTGTAGTGAAAATTTCTTTGTATTTTATGGACATTGCTACAATTGGTTTAATAATTTATGGTTTATATTATTATATCCTATTATCATATTGGAATAAAAATCAAGAAATAGCAACTTACTTTTAATTATTTGTGTATGATAGTTTACTACTTGATTTATTTCTATTACAACTTTTGAAAAATCAATTATAGTCTTGTACTTTAAATTCATTCTTATTTGGACATTATATTTTGAAAAACGTACATAAGTATAGTAAGGAAAATTCCTTCTTGTAAACTACATCAATGAGGTATTTTGTATTTTAACTTTCTATAAGTAATAACAAACCCTATTTTTGTAAAGGAAAAATGCATGAAATAGTTAACTACTTTTATTTGTTTGTGTATTATAGCATACTACTTTCAATTCTTTTTTTATTACAACACTGTATTTAATATAAATTTCTTAGTATATCTATATAGCAGTGGATGTGTGTTTGGATTTTGATGTGATTGCTATATTTGGGTAGAATAATTTGATGGTAAGATCATTGTCCTAGAATAAATATCTTTATTATTCTCTTTTTTTTTGAACTACATAAACATCCTTTTTTTGGCATATGAGTTATTTTTGTGTCTTCCACTATCTTCATACTAGAATAAATGTTTGTGTTCCTTTTTCTTTTGGCATCCTACTGAGACAAGTGAGCTAGTTTGTGTTTTAACTTCCTTTAAATAACACTATATTCTATCTTATTGATGGAAAATTCGAGAAATAGCAATGTACTTTCATATATGTATTATAATATTCTACTTTTTTTTTTCTTTTTATACCATATTGTACTTTCAAAGAGTTTCTTATCAAGACATTAAACTTTTAAAAAAACTACCATATTATGGCATTGTACTTTTCAAATTTCCTATTAGGATATTATACTTAAAAAAACCCTACCAATTGCTATAAAATTAGCTTTTTATTCGAATGGTTTTACTATAATTTCATAGTTTTTTAAATTTACAATGTTGTAATGTAAAATAAAAAGCAGGATGCTGTAATACACAAATCAATGAAAAATGCATTGCTAATTTTTTTTTCATATAACCATTTGATGTGAACGGATGTTATCAAGCACACCATAAAAGGTAATTAGCAGCAAAGGTATATTATAAGAAGTAGCTTAAAAATAGAATATTTATTTGATCATATAGAACATTAGAGTTAACAACTAACTCTACTACCAAAACTATTTATTTTACCATTGTACCTCATATTCTAACCCTTTTATGCCCATCGGAAAATATAAAAGTGACTAAACCAATTTGCTCTTACTGAAAATGATGTTATTGTCATGACCTGTTGAAAGGAAAACTATGTCACTTTTTCTTGCCATAAATTAGGACCAAACATGAGGTATCTATATATTCATTCCATTTCACTGGTGTTGAAAATTTTGTATATTTATTATCTTTAAATAAATTGAAATCCGTGTATTTAATTTATTTTTTATTTAAGTGACTTAATCTTCTATCTAAATATGAATGTTTTTTTTTACTTAATGCTGAAAGAAAGACTTGATATGTAAAATGAGAGAAATGACAGTTTTAATGTTTTACAAATTTGTCCTCATTTATATTTTCCTTACATTTTCTAAAAGTTTGCTATCAATTTATCAAATATTTCTAAACATTATTTATTTACATAACATTTTATTTAATGGGTAGATTTGTGTAACACAACAACCTATTACAACATTGTACTTTCAATCTAGTATTTTTATTATGAAGGGAATTATATTTTGGAAATCTACCCATTTATAGCATTGTGTCTTTAGTTTTTTTTCTTTTGTTTAATCAGGATGTTACACTTTGGAAAATATATCCAATTTTATCAATAAGGATTGCTTTGTTTATCGATGACATTGCAATAATTAGGTAGATTATTCGAAGTATGATGTAATATAATAAACAAATCATTGAAAGTAGGTTGCCATTTTTTTATAACAATATCCTTAGATTTCCCTAAACTAGTAGTCCAGTACTTTCAATTTTATTCTCATTAAGATATTGTCCATTTGAAAATCTACCCAATTATAGCATTATAAAAAAACTTCTTTGTATTCCAATGGTATTGCTATAATTGGGTAGATTTTTCATAGTATAAAATGAAACTAGGATTTTATAAAAGTTGTGTAGGATCAAAGAAAAGCATGTAGTTTTAGCTCATTTTTTTTATGAAATGAGAGGTGGAAATAGCAGTGAAAGCTTCATGAAGTGTCAAGACCTTGTATGAGATTATGATATGTATCTTTTTCTTTTAACCAACTAAATTCCTTAATGTCATTCATGATCTATTAACTTATTAGTTAGTTGTGTATTAAATCTAATTGTTGGTTGTTAAGATTCCTTTATAAAGTAGAGGTTTCTTTCATTTCCAATCATTCAATATAACATTCTTAACATATATCTCTAAAAGTAACTTTGTCTTCTTACTAAAGATACCATGTTTGATTTTAGATGTTTTCTTTTTAATTCACAAACCAATGAACGTGCGTTGCTGTTTCTTGCATTTAACCCACACCAGATAATAAAAACATGTAACCCATATTTATTAGCAATCCAGTGAATTTATACGTCAAAATACATAAAGCTCTAGTGGATAAAGACATAAATACCCTTAATTAGTTAACATCGTCCAAAAGAAGGACTGACAGAAGAGAGAGAGCATGTTACTAAACATATTTATTATCTTATTTGAAACGAGGTTGGTAATTGATTATGCTTCCTTGGAGAATTTTTGAAGAATCTCTTTTTTTATTATTTATTATTTATTAATTTATCATCCGGAACTTTCTCCATACGATTCGTAGGAGCTTTTACGCCTTCGTTCATTATGTCCAGCCAATCGCCTGCGACAACTCCTTTTCGCATCATCAAATTCCGTTAAGTCATGAAACCTGAAAACCATATTGGAATTAATCATTCCATTCCATTCATTCATCATGTTTGTATGAACGGAATAAGGATTTTTGTAGTGAATAAAATGTTTGAGTAACAGCAAATAACCGTTTCTACCCTTCTCGATGTTTCATTATATTTAATGTATTTAACAAGTTTATTCAATAAATTTGCATTAAAACACTTGGAAACAAAAAGTTGTGAGAAATCAACAAATTTAAACTATTGCTTGGAGAAAATTATGTATGAACAAAGATTATTTATATATTTATTTATTTTTGTGGTGAATAAAATGCTTGAATGAGAGCAAATAACTATTCTACCATTCTCAACGTTTCATTCTATTTAACGTATTTAACAAGCTTATTCAATAAATTTAGTTAAACCACTTTGAAACAAAAAATTGCAAGAAATCAACACATTTAAACTATAAACTTTGTGGAATTCTATCGCTTGGATAAAATTACGTATGAACAAAGATCTTATCTTATCTTTTTTTTTGTTAGTGAATAAAATGTTTGGATGAGAGCAAATAATCATTCTACCATTCTCAACGTTTCATTTTATTTAATGTATTTAACAACTTTATTTAATAAATTTGCAACATATCAAACATATTCAACCACTTTGAAATAAAAAATTGTGAGAAATTAACAAATTTAAACAATAAACTTCATGTATTTCTATCGCTTAAAGTTATGGATAAAGTTATGTACGAACAAATATTGTATCTTTTTTGTAGTGAATAAATGTTTGAATAATACTAAATAACCATTCCACCATTCTCAACGTTTCATTCTATTTAACATTTAACAAGTTTATTCAATAAATTTTGTTAAACCACTTTGAAACAAAAAATTACGAGAAATCAAAACATTTAAACTATAAACTTTGTGGAATTCTATCGCTTGGATAAAATTACGTATGAACAAAGATCTTATCTTTTTTTTTTATTTTTTATTTATTTTATTTTTGTTAGTGAATAAAATGTTTGGATGAGAGCAAATAATCATTCTACCCTTCTCAACTTTTCATTCTATTTAACATATTTAACAAATTTATTTAATAAATTTGCAACATATCAAACATATTCAACCACTTTGAAATAAAAATTGTTAGAAATCAACAAATTTAAACAATAAACTTCATGTATTTCTATCGCTTAAAGTTATGGATAAAGTTACGTATGAACAAAGATTTTATCTTTTTTTGTAGTGAATAAATGTTTGAATAATACTAAATAACCATTCCACCATTCTCAATGTTTCATTCTATTTAACGTATTTAACAAGTTTATTCAATAAAATTTTTTAAACCACTTTGAAACAAAAAATTGCGAGAAATCAACACATTTAAATTATAAACTTTGTGGCATTCTATCGCTTTGATAAAATTACGTATGAACAAGATTTTATCTATTTTTTTTTTTTGTAGTAAATAAAATGTTTGGATGAGAGCAAATAACCATTTTAGCCTTCTCAACGTTTCATTCTAGTTAACGTATTTAACAAGTTTATTCAATAAATTTGCAACATATCAAACATATTCAACCACTTTGAAACAAAAAATTGTGAGAAATCAACAAATTTAAACAATAAACTTCATGTATTTCTATCGCTTAAAGTTATGGATAAAGTTACGTATGAACAAAGATTTTATCTTTTTTGTAGTGAATAAATGTTTGAATAATAGTAAATAATCATTCCACCCTTCTCAACGTTTCATTCTATTTACGTATTTAACAATATTATTCAATAAATTTGCAACATATCAAAAATATTCAACCACTTTGAAACAAAAAGTTGCGAGAAATCAACAAATTTAAACAATAACCTTCATGTAATTCTATCACTCGGATAAAGTTACGTACGAACAAATATTTTATATTTTTTGTAGTGAATAAAATATTTAAATAAGTGTAAATAATCATTATATCCTTCTCAATGTTTCATTCTATTTAATGTATTTCACAAGTTTATACAATAATTTGCAGCATAATAAACGCATTAAAACACTTTTAAACAGAAAATTACGAGAAATCAACATATTTAAACAACAAACTGGAGTGTCTGAATTGGTAAAACGGGCTTTTCTCCTCTCACTTAACGCATTAAGTCATTGTAAATTTATTAAGTAAAAAAGAAACAACCCTTTAAGTGCTTATCCCATTAAGGCCATTAAGTAAAAAAGAAAACAACACAACACAACAAATTAAGAGTTAAAAGTTTGTTTACCTGCTGCATTGCTGACAAAATCGTTGTTGACGTCCACCAATAACAACAATCGGAGCCTTTGCATGAGCCTCACATACTTTATGCCTCCGGTGATACGCTTTGGATCTTGTCATATCGGTTGTGCAATTTGCCACCTGGCAAACCGGTTGTGTGGGCCCACCACTACCGGAACCCCTCTTTCCACCCATTGTCGCCTTCTTCCGCCCATCATCTATGAATGCCATGTCATCATCCATTTCCCATTCTTCCATGATGTCGTTAGTAAACTTGTCATCCATATTGGATTTGGATTTTCTTCTTACCATTTCCTTGAAAGAAGGCCTTTCCTCTTTATATAGAGAACAAGAAAGTGAAGCTTTGGAATAGGAATAAGTGATTCCGATGTTCGGATTCCATGTGAAGGAATAATTGATGGTAAGTCTCTCACTGTCTCTGCTCTAGAATAAATGTTTGCATTTTTCTTTCTTTTTTAAAAAGAATTATATCGACATCTTTTTTGTCGTTTAAGCTTGTTTGTAGTTTAGCTCCATTTAAACAACAATATATATATATATATATATATATATATATATATATATATATATATATATATATATATATATATATATATATTTATTTATTTGTACAGGAAAATTTCAAGAAGTAGCAATGTACTTTTGTTTGTTTGTGTACTAAAACATACTACACTTACTTCTTTCTATTACAAAGTTGTTTTTAGAAAAAAAACCATTCTTGTTAAGGCAATCTTCTTTGAAATTCCGCACAAAGTTATAACATGATACTATTGATTTTTTTCTTATTAGGACGTTATATGTCTGATATTGTAGTGAAATTTGCTTTGTATTTTATGAACATTGCTACAATTGGTTTAATGATTTATGGCTTATATTATTATATGCTATTATCATACTGGAATAAAAATCAAGAAATAGCAACTTACTTTTAATTATTTGTGTATGATAGTTTACTACTTGATTTATTTCTATTACAAATTTTGAAAAATCAATTATAGTCTTTTACATTACATTCTTTCTTATTAGGACATTATATTTGAAAAACGTACATAAATATATTAATGAAAATTCCTTCTTGTAAACTACATCAATCAACTATTTTGTGTTTTAAGTTTCGATAAGTAATAACAAACCCTATTTTCGTAAAGGAAAATTTCATGAAATAGTAAACTATTTTCATTTGTTTGTGTATTATTTCATACTACTTTCAATTCTTTTTTTATTACAACATTGTATTTAATATAATTTTCTTAGTATACCCATATAGTAGTGTAAGTGTGTTTGGATTTTGATGTGATTGCTATATTTGGGTAGAATAATTTGATGATAAGTCTTTCACTATCATTGTCCTAGAATAAATATCTTTATTATTCTCTTTTTTTTGAACTACATAAACATCCTTTTTTTGGCATATGAGCAATTTTTTTTTTGTCTTCCACTATCTTCATACTAGAATAAATGTTTGTATTCCTTTTTCTTTTGGCGTCCTATTGTGACAAGTGAGCTAGTTTGTGTTTTAACTTTCTTTAAATAATACTTTTTTCTATTTTATTGGTGGAAAAATTCAAGAAATGACAAGGTAATTTCATATATGTATTAAAACATTTTACTTTCATGTCATTTTATTACCACATTATACTTACAAAGAGTTTCTTATCAAGGCATTACACTTGAATTTTTTTTTTTCATATTATGGCATTGTAATGTCTAAATTTCCTGTTAAGACATTACACTTTAAAGAAACCTATCAATTGCTATAAAATTTGCTTTCTATTCAGATTGTTTTCCTATATTGTGATAGATTTTTCAATTTACAATGTTGTAATGTAAAAAAAAAAAAAAAACAAAAATAGGATGTTGAAATATACAAATTAATAAAAGTACAATGGTAATTTTTTCATATAACCATTTGATGCAAATTGATGTTATAACCACACCATAAAAGGTAATTACAACCAAAGTTATATTATAAAAAGCAAATTAAAAAAGAGATTATTTATTTGATCATATAGAATATTAGAGTTAACAAATAACTCTACCACTAAAACTATTTAATTGACCATTGTATCTCATATTCCAACCTTTTTATGCCCATCGGAAAATATACAAGCGACTGGACCAATTTGCCCTGATTGAAAATGATGTTTTTGTCATGACCTTTTAAAAGGAAAAATTGTGTCACTTTTTATTGCCATAAATTAGGACCAAACGGGAGGTATCTATATATTCATTCCATTTCTCTGATGTTGAAAAATTTGTATATTTATTATCTTTACATAAATTGAAATCAATATTTATTTATTTATTTGTTATTATTTTATATTTACTTAATGTACTTAATCTGGTATCTAAATATGAAAGTTTTTAAAACTTACCGTTGAAAGAAAAACTAGTGAGAAAAATGATAGGTTTAACCTTTTACAAATTTGTCCTCATTTATATTTCCTTTCATTTCTCAAGTCTCTCATAATTTTCTCAAATATTTTTTATACATTATTTATTTACACAACATTTTATTTAATTGGAAAAAAAAAGGCCACAAAATGAATCTTGTGTCCTTTTGTACTTTTTGTCTTTTATAAAGGAATATCCAAGTAACACATACTTCCATTTATTTGTGTATTCATATTTTCATTTTTTTCTATTACAAGATTGTACATTCAATCTAATGTTTTTTTTATTATGAAAGCAATTATATTCTGGAAATATTTTATTGGAACGCTACACTTCAGAAAATCTATCTATATATATCAATAAAGATTGCTTTTCATATGGATGACACAGAAAATCTATCCAATTATATCAATAAAGATTGCTTTTCATATGGATGACATTACTGTAATTCCATAGATTTTTTCAATGTATGATGTAATATAATAAACAAATCATTGAAACTAGGTTGCTATTTATTTACAACAATATCCTTAGATTTCACTTAACCAATATATGAGCACCGTGTTCTTTCTTTTGGAGACAAACTTTTGAGGGTGCACTTCGGACGACTCAAAGCATGCAACAAATAGTTTGCAAGATGGATCTCATTCTATACCTACCTACGAAGATGATTAGTGCACAAATTCCAAACATACCCATTTGTTTATGTTCAAGTCTTTATCATTTCCTGATGGTTGTCCTTTAATTTGGAGATAGAAAGATTCCCACTAATCATCAAAGAACTTAGTTTTTAGGGTCCAAAAGATTCCATGTACCCTAACCCTTCGAGTGTGGGGATGAAAGCTTGTGTGCTTGGTTGACCAACTTTTGCAGGCCCTTGACTAGATTATACTTTTTATTTATTTATTTAATTTTTTTGGGTTACTAACGTCTATATTTCCCCCAGTTTATGTAATAACGTAGGTTTTAAATGAATTATGCAACACATTTTATATTAGGACTCAAAGATGCAATAGTAACATTTTAATCGGTTGAAATATTGTTGAATATTATTCTTACTTTGGATTTGTTAATACCTTAACATAGATGTCTACTTTACTTTGGATTTGTTAATATCTAGTTTACTAACTTAAAACAAATTCATTTAGCATGATTTATTTATGTGGCTTTTAAATATTAGAGTAAATTATGACATAAAAAGATATGTTAAGGTATGCACTTTATTTCATAGTCATTTAGCATGATTTTTTTTTTTTTATTTTTTATTTATTTATTTATTTATTTTTTTTGACAAATCAACCAAAATGATCCCTATGGTATGCATTATTTTAGGAAAAAGTCCAAACATTGGTATATATATATTATATATATATATATATATATATATATATATATATATATATGTATGTGTGTGTGTGTGTGTGTGTGTGTGTGTGTGTGTGTGTGTGTGTTGAGTGTGTGTGCGTGTGTACGCCTAGGTGGCCTCTTACCCGTTTGTTGGGAGTATCAGTGTTGTAAAAATCGGCATATGTGGTCGTCTAGACACTAGGCGGCCTCTTACTGTCTACGATTAATGCTAGTCGATCGAGTTAGACGAAGTTGGTCCTAGGCGTCTGTAGGCGGTCTAGATGGTATAAGCCAGTAAAAAGTCAGACAATCAGAATTTTCAAAAAAAAGGATTAGTCAAATATGTGATATTGATGACTAAATTATGTCAATTAATGACTAAAACTGTTAAAAGATCTCAAATTAGTCTAAAAATGATTATATACGATAATTTAAATATTTATACGATTGAATATGTCAAAGTTTTATTTTTATTTACTTCTTTTGTTAGGATATATGTAATATATAATTTAAAAAAAATTAAATTCTATTACAATTAAGGGTCTTCGCCTAAACGCTGATTAATCCCCACCTAGACTGATTAGTCCCTTAACCTCAGTCCACCGCCCGACCACTGCCTATCGACTTTTACAACCTTGTCACACACACACACACACACACACATATATATATATATGTATATATATATATATTATATATATATATATATATATATATATATATATATATATATATATATATATATATATATATATATATATATATGGTTAGGTTCAAATATTTCCAACAACTATTGTGTGCTCGTATGCACAAATCTGGATCAACGGATGGAATAGAATTGATGATCATAATCTAGGGTCAATGATAGTACAATAGGATAACATGTACTATATAATCACACAAATTTCGGCATAAGGGTGTTTTAGTCAATTAACCTATATTAAAAAAAGGAAATTTTCGTATTTTAAGGATAATTAATTCCTGTTTTTTTTTTTTTTAATCTGGATTTTTTAAAATAATTCAAATTTAATTTTAATATAACTTTTTAGTAATAATTGATTTTATTCTGTCGGAATGACAAAAAATCAACCACAAAACTAGTAAATATATTTTCGATTTTATTCTTGTAGAATATGGTTACATTCAATATATATATATATATATATATATATATATATATTTTTTTTTTTAAAAATTAACATGCTTAAAGACTTATACAACATATTATAAATAATAACATTTTCTAAAGAATACAAATTTTATTCTTTAAGAATGACTAATTACATTAATTCGTAAAGAATAAGACTATAAACAATGGTTAAAAAACATTAAAATCTAACAAAAACACTAAACCATTATGAAATTAACAAACACATTATACATTGTGGCAGAATACATTCCGGTAGAATACATTGTCATTCTTCAAGGTTTTTATTTTTATTTTATTTTTATTTTTTTTCCACATCAATGACAGCCACTTTAAAATCAAAATCTACAAAAAAACATAATCAACTTCTAAATAATAAAAAATTTAGTGCATTCTAAAAGAA